ACTTTCGAGGCATTTCAGATCAGCACTTAAATTAATTTAAAAATCAACTTCACACGATAATTTCAATAGCAACCACGTGCGTACAATTGACAAACTCACATAGGTTATGTTTACTACTTAAGAACAGCTGATGAGAGGGGTGTTATGTAAACAAACATGTGTACCAACTGTTGGTGATGAAATATTTCATTTGTTGAAAACTCAATATACATATATATAATATAATGATACTATATCTTGAAAACAAGAGCTAATATATAATTTTTATGGTCACTTTCGGTTTTAACATGTGGAAATACATTAAAATCATCTAATTTCAACCCCGAAACAAAAACTTTGTTGTGTTGTGCAATTAGTGAAATCAAGCTTCAACATCGATCATCGAATGGTATTCACCTCCTGTCTCTCTCTCTCTGCAGCTTTCACTGCGAGTATGTAACTGAAAGATACTCAAGCTAAAAAAAACAATGCAGAGTTTATTCATAATTGAGTAATATTTTCAGCCCACTCATCAATTTATTGATGAATTGTTGAATTGTTTTATATATTCGAAAAACAATGTGTCTTCATTTACTCTTATGAAGGAAACTCTACCCGTTTGACCAATGTGAAAATTGACATCACAACGTGACCAACGTGACAACTAAAGCTGTATGACAGTACAGATCGTACAAATGATGAAAACTAATGACACTGAAAAGTCTCAAACAAACCAAAAATTATTGACTCTGACAGAACCCAAGAAACAGATATTTCCAACTTGTTTTGCAAAAAAATTAAGTTTTTATTCAACAAAGTATCGACGGACACACAAGTCATAGTAAGCCGGCTGATATTGAAGTTCGTGCAGACTTTGACAATAGGCTGTATTATTGTTTACAAAACAACAGAACCAACTTTAAACATTTACCTAATTAACATTTTTAATAAATTTGTAGTTCGACAAAAACCCAATTGAATATTCCATTCAAGCCAAAGTTGAACAATTATTGCATCACCTTGTACAATTATTATTTATACCATTGGATAGCATTTTTTATAGTATTTTCAATGATGTATCACAAGTAGGGGTTTGCAATTCAAACTTTTTGTGTTTTGGTAAGTGGGGCCTAGGTGGTTGATGGGATTGAGTTCTCTTTCATGTCACTTTAGTTCCCCCTTACTATCCTAGAAATGGTTTCAAAAATTTTTCGATATCAGCTTTCATTCGTGAGATATAGCCCATTGTAAGTTTTAAAATTGACTCACTGTATTGTTGGGTTCCTAGGATGGGTTTCAGACTACAATTACAAAAACAGGAGGCAAATTTAAGGTTACCTATACCACTCTTCCTGAAGTAAAAGTGAAACTGAAAGTATTTTGTACCCAGTTGATGCATTTGTAGTTGTTTGAGAGGTTGAATCGATAGTAAATAGCGCAGTCAAATTGGCGGTATTTTCTTTGTTTCATTCTATTACATTTCACAGAATTTAATATTTTTTATATAAGATTTGTTTGTTTGTTCATGGAGTCGTTGTTTCACTCATTATAATTCATTTTTGAAACCTTGGACTTTCAGTTTCTCTTGGACTGAGAAAAAGACCATCCTCGTAGAATAAGATGAAATTTAGAAAACAAGAACAAATTAGAGACTTTCAAGTCAATCTATCGAGAAGAGAATAGTAAG